CATAAATTTGTACTATATCAAATTAAGGCTAATAAAAACCAACTGGCATTGTCACCAAAGTTCAAAAAAAAAAAAAAGTATATAATAGTTAAATAATAGAATCTTAATTGGCTATTAAAAGTGTGATACAGATACATAATATTAAGTAACATCTATAATATTATTATTGTCTTACAAACCCCAAGTACTCTTATACAAGTTTTATATATTCTAGTACAATTTATTGTACCAAATACTATAATACAAAAATTTCAAGTATTTCCAACACAATTCCTAAATGTTTTTGCACAATCTCAAGTATTTCTAGCACAATCTTCAAGTGTCCCTGCACAATTCTAACTGTCCCTGCATAGACTCAAATACTTTAATACAAGCTTCAAGTGTTTTAAATACAAACTTCACTTGTCTTTGCACAATCCCTACTACTCCAAATACAGTATTAAGAGATATCACTCAAATCTCTACTACTTCTATTAGGTAAAAGGATATATAAAGAGTACCTTTTTTTCTTCTTTACTAATTCTAAGTTTCTATATTTCAATCCAGACATAATGATTTTTTAATTATAAAGTATGATATTCTTCCTTTAAGGTAATTCCTATAGACAAGGTTATCATCATGTGTATTGTTAATAAAAAGTTAATCTATATACTATTATTATCTCGAACCATTTGCCTGCTGCTATGTAGTAAAATAAACTACTACATTTCCACTCTGTATATATTTGCAATAGTCAATTACTGTATTAGGTAACCTTGTTACTTGGTTGTATTGTATCAAGAAGGCTACAACTTTGTAACAATATATATAAAATATAATAAATTCTAATAAGTCTTCTGTTAAGAATAAAATAATTCTAAAAGTACCAACTAGCATTAGAAACTTAAATAAGCAATGTTCTGAAAATGTTTCTATAATACAAAAAGATTGCATATGCAGAAGATTTAAATAAACAAGACTTATAGTTGGCTTGCAGATATAATATTTAGTATAGAATCTATATAGTAATATATAGGCAGACTACTTAAATTAGGCATCAAAAGTGCACATGTGCTTAGTTGTAACCTTCAATGTAAGAAGGCACCTATGTTCTATAAAAACTTAAATAAAATATTAGTTTCCAAAAATAAGGACTTTAACACAAAAAAAAAAATCAAATTTACTAAAAAAGCAAACTTAATTTTACAAATATATTTTAGAATTTATTAACAAAAATAATCTAAACATTTATATTACTTTATCTTGTATGTATTTGATATCAAAAACATAATACTTTGAGTAAAAACTATTTATAATTTATAATAAATATAACAAAATATAAAAAAAATAAATATAAAAAATATAAAAAATAAAAATGTAGAAAAAGGTTTTTTCCAACCTACCTTAACTAAAAACTAATTTAAAATAATTAGCTATAGCACTTATAAGAAATAGAAGGTATAATGTCATATTAAGTGCCAAATAGTAACACAAATTAAGTTTAAAAATCTTTAATTTTAGAACTTTATATTTCTATATATAAAAAAGTTTTTACTTGAACATTATGTTAATAAAAAAAAAAAAAAAGTAAAAATGTTAAAAGTATATATTTTGTATTGTTTTGATGATTAATTTTAACCATGTCAAAATGTAATTCATATAATTAATACAAATCAGATTTTATCAATTTTTTTTTCAGATGATCTACACAAAGCAATATTTTTAAAGTTATAAAACCTTATGTTAGAGTTAGGAAATAATCAAAGAATAAAATATCTATACCAAGAAATTTTTTATTAATGCACAAAAGACAATTATTAGCAGTTTTTTAAAAGATCATGATTTTCATATTACACTTGATCCGAAAATCTTATTGGCATCGCTATTATATGAGGTCTCCAAATGCCATCACTGTCGTAAACTATTCTCGATTTACTTCACACAAAACAAAACTTATCACAATAACTTATTTATATTTCTATAAAACTCCACATGTTTTAAAGTCATGAAATCTAATAATCTAAATGCCATAAGTATATTTTTTTAATTGTTGAATCAATCAATATTACATATTATAAATACATTGAGAGTATTGTAAATGAAAATGCAAGTGACTTTTTTATAAATATAATGTTTCTCTATACATATCTAGTAAAGTCAAGTACTGGTTCCAAACTTAATAACATGTTATTTTCTATACTATCTCCACTAATCTGTTGTTTTTCGTTGCTTCCATTGATTAATGATGATATAATCCGTTCCTTAAATCGTTTAATCTGTCTTAATCTATCTTTCCAATTTGATACATATTCCATATTTCTTGGTCCTCCACTTTGTTGAAATATTTGTGCAAATATGTTTGCATGTAAAGCCGTTTGACGTGCAAATGCTGGTAAAGCTTCTGAAGATACCATCTTAAATTCTGTAATAGGTCCGATTTCTGGCATGTCCGAACGCCGCTGCATTTGGATCTTAAAATATGAACTTTTGTTTGTAGACTCTGTTTGACTTTTTAGGGAATGTGGTGAAATCACAATGTTTATATAGTTAAAGTGACTAGGTAACGTATCAAACGCGTACTCATGTCCAGAATCATTGTAAACAATAGTAACATAATCATTGCCTATATGTCGTTTTTTGAGACTACATTGTGGATCACGCTCTAAGTTCGTTGGCATTAATGTTGCACAATGAAATATTACTTGTGTGATATCGTCCTCCCAATAGTATGCATATTCTCCGTCTGTGTCGTACTCGGTGTCGAGTCCTCCTGTGTAAACATGTTTACAGTCCTTTAATCGAATCAAAGTTCCCAAATTATTCAAAAAATTGATATAATCTTGAGATCCATGTATATTAGATAGAATCTCTGTTTCTTTGGACTGGTCTTTTCCAACATATAACACCCCTATTTTGTAAAAATCGACAACCGGCGTAAGATCCAACATCGATAGTGCGCGAGTTGTGGAATCATCGTCCGGTAACAGTTTAGGAACTTCCTTAGATATGAGATCAGGATAGGGTGAAAATTGTAGAAATAAAAAGCTTGGATCTATGTGAAGGTCATCCTTACGATACATGTTATTTTCTTCATTTAATGAATGTGATGTGAAAATTTCTTTTAAAACACGTTGCTGTTTAGTTGAAAAGGTCATGAGAGGCGTCTTATCTCCATCAAGAGATGATTCTGATTGCGTTTCAGTAACATGACTTTGATTGATATGATTTTCTAACGATTCTGGGTGTGATAAAGTTTTTTGATCGGAGCCTTCGTTTTCCGGGTTGACTATAATGAGCTTTTCTTCAATTTTTAAATCATTTTTCCGAGTTTCTACAATATGAACATCTGATATTTCTTGTTGAGAAACTCCAGTTATAATCTCTGAATGACAAGACATCATATCAGTTATATTAGTCGGAAGTGGAATCACGTTTTGTGAATCAGGATCATAATGAGCCATTAATGTTGCTGGTAATGTAATAAGGTCTACGCCATCTAATTTGTTACGATTTTCTAGTTTACATAAAAAAGCAACAGTTCCAGAAGGTCTACGTATTATAATCTCAGACCACCCAAGCGATTTCATGGTTTTTATTGTCAAAAAAGAATTTCCTTGGACCCATGTAGACAATTTTACTTTATCTTTTCCTTGATCAGCTAATACTTGTGTTATATACGATGGTTCGGGCTTGGGTCCAGGACTAGCAAAAGAGAAACGCGCAAGCATATCGAAACACGTCTCTGTCTGTTCGTCAACATTCTGGGTAGATCCGTTTGCAACTAATAGACCATGAACGATAAATGTTACATATTTTCGTCGTTCTGATAATCTAAGTGACATAAACCAAAGATATATGACATGATATGCCATAATACTTTCATATTGACTTAATGCATTAGTACTTATGGAATTTGTAGTAGTAGTTGTGGACTGTTGTCCAGCAGCAGCATGACTATATTGAATGTACTGCACTGCGATACCAAATACACGTTTGTAATCGGATTCGGTAAAATTAACATATAAATCCGGAAGCCTGGCTAATCCCGAAAGAAATTCAAGAATATGAACACTCATTGTACTAGTCGTTATGATCTTTGACAAGCTGTCGAGTGTATTCTGAAGATGTTTTGTAGCCGAAAGAGGTAACTCATATAAACAAATGTTGAGAGCATGTATACAAGGTTTTGCACTATGTCCCCATCTCTGTAAGCCAAAATTAAACGTCAAAACTAATTCATCACACTCCTTCTTTCTAAACAAGTTGCGATAACTTATGAGAATTATCATTGTTTGATAAGCCATAACATACACGTCCACTTTTTTAATATCTGCTGGAAGTAAAATGCCTTCTGCTAACCTACTGTTCAAAATCGAATCGCATAAATAACTTCTTAAAATAAGAATTTCGTTAGAGGCAGCGCAAAATAAGTGTTGTCTACTTAATTGCGATGGCAGATGACATAAAATGTACGAATATATATCCCAATCTTTGTCATTTGTAAGGATATCTATCAAACACTTTAGATAGAGATTTATTGGTAGAACAATTTGTCTAAATCGACATTCTGTTTCATTTCCATTCGCGTGTGAGGTGTTACTTTGAATATCGAGCTTGTCAGATTCCGATTTATTTTCACTACACATCTTTTGAAACAGATCTGATTTTTCTAGGGGCATTTCACAAGAAAGAACATAAGGACTCGGATGACTAGAAACAAGTTTGAAGCTTAAAGTCTCGGGTATTTGCCAGAGGCGTTCTTGTTGAATTGTGATTACACTTTCTTCCGGAATATTTTTATTTTCATCCGGTGTTAGAGATTTAATGAATTCTTTCTTGTCAAGAAACGAATTTGCAATGTCTTTAAAACTACCCCTTCTCTCAATTTTCTTTTTTACATTACTTTTCCCCGAACTAGCACTGGTATTACTAGAGGTGGATGTTGGTAAAGAATTTTGTTCTGTCACAACTCCATCGCGATGTAAAATATGTACTAAATCTAAATTTTCAATAAAATAAATTCTATGGTCATTATCAGCACTCATTCTAACCAATAATTGCAATAAAGTAAGTCGACAAATTATAGGATATGCTGTAATATCACCAAGAATTTTAATAATTTCCGTGAAAACCTCGATGCATTCATCCAAAAAGCCAGCCTTGTACAAACAATGCTGAAATATGTTAATAAGGCCTTCCGTAGAAGAGACACATTTACAAATCGATGAATGCATGGATCTTGGTTTAGCATCTGATTTTTCATAGGTACAAATGCAACGACAACATTGTATTAGGATTTTTAACAAAGCAGAGAACCAGTAACTTGGAGCCTCTTTAAGAATAATAATCAAGAATTCCATAGAAGGATTAGATAAATTAAGATCAATCTCTTCAGGCAAATCAGTCAACATAGGAATTATAACAGCTTCTAATAGCTTATCCTGATAGATATCTTTTGTAACCTCATATACATCCATCGTCATTGTTAAGATTTTTTGACGAACCTTTGATGACGATTTCTTAATGTAGAATGTATTAATTACGTCAACTAACATAACAAGCCAATCAGGTGAAGATGGATATAATGTATGTTCTGCATCATAATATTCAAGGAGCATAATGATAGTATTTTCGGAAATATGATCCCTAAGGTCTTGAATGAGACTTATGAAACGCGAGGTAGATCCAACAAATGAAGAAGATGCGTGTAAAGTCTGAATTTGGAGTATTAGTTTACTATAGGCTATTATAACTGCTAAGTCACTAGATCGATCCAAATCAATATCTGCAGCATCATCTAGTACAAAATTCCCCTTTTCTTTCAAAGCTTTACTCTCTAGAAAATGATATCGTGTATTATCCAAAATATCTAATATGATATCCCATTCTAGTAAAGCAATGGTTTTTTCATATTTTGTGACAAGTTCACTAATCTGAATCAAAACTTCAAAATGAACTATAGGATCTCGATAAGATTTTGTTGATTGACTCATTGCTGAAAGGGCAGCAGAATATGTATGTGAAAGAGTTTCGACCCTTTCTGATCCCCATAATGCCCCTCCTAAAAACAATACAGATCCTCGTAAAATATTTGTTGACTCAACAGTTACTATTTCAGCATTTAAATTATCACATAATATTTTGATGGTACCATAATCGCAATGGCTTCTTAATAAGTTACGCATTATATGCCAACTTGTTTGTGAAATCGAACCATCACGATTAACTTTATCGCAAAGCACATTAACATACGAATTCAATGAAGACGAAGGTACATAACCATATCGTACTACTATATCCCAAAAATTGAGGCAACATTCTATATCCAAGATATCTCTCGATTTCCTACAAGCGATGGCAATATCTTCAATAAGTCGAGAAATGTCATGTTCCTCAAATTGAGCAAAATTAAATTTAACTACACTAATCAATAGACTAACTACGGATTGCAACCTCGTCGTAAAGGTTGGTTGTAGAGGTATATCAGAATCTAATGATTCACCAATTGGTTCAGCAGTTAAAAAAGGAGCCATGATATTTGTCTGCCCTTCTTGTTTTTGAACCGTTGAGCTTTGATTGTCCAATTGTCGTACAGTTTCGTTAACCCATTCAGAAAGTAATTTTACCAAATTTTTTTCAAAAGAAGAAATATTTCTTCCATCATGACATAGTTCTCTCAATGCCATTAATCTAATTTCAAAATCTTGGTCATTATTATAAGATTTTATACAATCATAAAAAATTGTTCTAAGAAAACCTAAATTATCGATATGTTGTCCCTTTATGCAAGAAATCATAAACTGAAAGGCAACAATTCTTGCTTCGGCCTTATCAGACGTTAATAGCTCACTAACACAAACCCATACTTCGGTCATATCAGAAAAAGTGTATTTTGTGACAATATCACATAGTTCTCTAATAAGTTTAATACGGGTTTCTATAGGGTGAGGCTTTTGCAATTCTTGTATCAACAGCTTTGTGTCTATGGGACTTTTAGAATTTTCGTCTTGCGGACGATCTTCAGTGCTTTCCGAAACTGTTGGGGGAGTTAAACCTAAGACATCTTCCCAGGAAGAAGAAAAATCAGGCCGTTTTATTATTCCTCGAAGAGAAAAGCCGGAAGAAGCACGCTTGGACTTTGCATCCTGTGCCATTATTAGAAATGTAAACGGAAACAAACACCCCTATAAATATTTTATTGGCTGAATATCGATCTCGTGATTTTATGACCCATGAAATTTATTTCAATTTCGAGTATCCTTTTTCTTGATGTTAATAATAGCGATAACGGAAAATACTGTAATTAAGTTATCGCAATATTAAGATTTTCACTTTTTTTTGACTACGTACAGAATTATATACAAAGGATATATGCGTAACTGTTGTACGTAATATTTGTCATAACAAACAAGTCACTTTGGTTATACGTACCGACAGCTACCTGACAATCATAACGATAAGAGATATTATACTACGTAAAATACTGTCTTAAACCGTCACTAGTTAGCAGGCAAATTTAGTTGTTAAAATGTTAGTGTTATGTCTAATCTATTTTGCTAAAATTTAAAATAATTAAAGGTAGGGGTACTATGTTAAAATTATATATAAACTTAATGGTAAATTTTTTTTATATTTAATTTTATAAAAAATTATATTATGTAAACTAATTTCAATTTATAAGAAAAGTTTGTAGAGCAAGTTTTTCTGATTCTAATAATAGTAAAACCATTAATATTGAGTAAAAACTCAGTACGTAAGAGAAATTAAATATAAAAATTTATTAATTAACTTATAAGGTTATATAAATTAATTAATCAAATTTAATGATCTTGTGTAATTCTGGCAAATTTTGAATAATCTCAAAAAACTTTGTAATATATATAGGTATATATATATATACTTTTTTTTGTTTAGTCAGATGTTATCGATAACTATCATTTTTATTTGTGTTTTTTAGTCAATATATTACATGTAACTTGTATAAAATAAGTTTACAACTAGTTATATATATAACTTTTGGTTATCTATTTAAGTAGTCTGTTTAGAGATTCTATACTAGTTATCATATCTGTAATTTACTAGAAGATTACTTATTTAAACACTTTGATTCTTATACTGTACTCAGGTAAGTAGCACCTAGTTTCTATATATTTAAGTGTTATCTAACTTAATACGTATTAAGCTTTTCTTTTATATGTCTGTTAGGTTATTACTCATTCAAGAGCATGTCATTTAACTGTAAGGTCTTAAGATATTTTTTTGTTAACTACCTACTCATTTTATTAATAAGGTTAGCCCTTGTAAAATTTACTTGAACTTCAACATCTATTTAATAATATATTTATAGTATTTTAATATATTTTTATTTTACTTTTAAACTTCTAATTCAAATAGCTTAGTAGAATTGTAATCTGTTTTTAATATATCAAGTTAGTCTAATGTTCTTTTTTTTTGTTTAATTCTAGTAGTCTGGTTGATAGTATTCTTTATCTCGAGATTTTTATTCATTCATCTTTTCTATACTGATACTGTTTTCTAAATTTAGTTTTTATAATAGTACTGTTAAAAATTCATATTATTTTTCTACTTAAGTCTTTTTAAATAAATTTCAGTTTTTTCAGTTCTATGAATTTACATAATTGGGTGTGATGACCTAATGAAGTGGTCAGGTTGTCAATCCCCAAGTGGCAGATCCAGAGTTCAAATCCTAGTGTTGACAAAAATTTTGAAAATTCTCTTTGTATTATGGTTAACTATCACTTACAATTGGTTAGGATAAAACATCTGTTACCTATATCACACCAACATGACTGGCAGGTCACATGTCATTTGTGTAATAGTCACATGACATTTCCTTTGAAACAAGGTCTATGGTTACACAAAAGAATGCAAACCGATACCAGGTAGTGCAAACCTATAATAAGTCCTTATGGTCATGTAAATCATAGAAACCAAAAGAAAAAGATGAAAGCTTACTTGAAAGACCTAAGTAGAAAGGTAACCTGAGCTTTTGACAGTGTTACTGTAAAGACTAGACTTATAAAATAGAGCTAGAACTTATAAAACTGGGCAAATGTATTAGTCTTTAAGAAGGGACCGGATAAATCAACCAGACTGTCAAAATTTCTAAATTCCAGAAAAAAAGGATATATGCTGGCAAATATGTAAACCAGAGGTGTATGGTTTCGACTTACCTTTCTGGGCTATCTGGAATGGCAGCTTAGTAGAACTTAAATTGAATACCAAAGTAGTAAGAATATGTTATAAAGTTAGTACTGGAGTTGGAGTAAACTCTACAAGGGCATAGCAGTTTAATGATATGCTCTAACTGCCAGTGTTGGTCTCGGCCATAGCAATACCAGGTTAGCTATAAGAATAGGATACAGAAGATTCTGGAAGGTTTATTATAAGGTCAAAGGTTCCAAAGAACTGCTTTAAAGACTTAGTAGTCATAACATATTTTTATCAGCATCAGCTGAAGTCATTAGTAAGCAGAGATAAGTAGGTGAATATGGAAACAGAATGGTTAAATATGGAACCTACAAGTGGGTTTAAGGTATAGTAGCTAGTATAAAACCTTCAGATAGACTACTTAAATTAGACAATAACTATAGTTATACAAGTGACTAGTTGTACACTCTCTCCATGGTTGCTCTCTGTAGTTGTAATGCAATCATTAGCCAAATATATTATCAATAAATCCTAGATCACAAGTACTTATCTTAATATTTAAAAAAAAAAAAAAATGAATTTATATAATTATAAGAACTTATTTAAGTTTTCATCATCTAAACTAGTATTTTTTTCTGTATAATTAAGATTATTTAGATATTTTAAGACTTGTCAGTCATGCTAATTTGATTATAATTACAGATATCTTATCTGAACTAATTAACAAAAAAGCTATTGCTATAATATATAAGTATTATATAAGTAATTATATAAATGTTTATCATTAGTGGATTTTAAACTTATAACTTACTACTTGAAAGGTTAATAACTTACTATTTTACTAAATTTTTTTTTCTTCACTTGAGCAGTCTTACTGATCATCTTTATTATGTATTTTTGTATTACATATATACAAATTAGTTCATAAATTCTGGTCCAACATTCTGCAGGGGCTTCTATGAGTCCCTATGAGCAATCTGCCTGCATTGACTGTCTAATTTCAAAAGAAATTAGAGTATGTCAGGGGCCACATCTGATCACTGCTTTACAATAAGATATTGCCAATCTGATAACATCATCTTGTAGAGAAGTGAACAAAAACAAAAAAACTTATATAAAAAAAATACAGGAGAATAGGAGTAAACAATAAAAAATACAAATGCAAGAAGTAAAAGAGGAAAAAGGAAGAAGTGAGAAACAAAAGAGAAGATATGTGTGACTCTCACTACATGACTATCAGATGGTCACAATTATAAGCCTGTGTTAGGCTTTTAAAAATTATAAACTATATTAAATAGAAATAACTCTATTATTTTTCTATCTACTAGAATATTTAATAAAAAACCATGCAGGATAAAACTTCAACTTGAATATAAAGAGTCAGCATGAGTACTGGTTAGTCTGGGAATAGTATTTCATAAGGTTTTAGCAGTTCAAGGCACATGTATGAGTCATATTTGTATTGCTGTATTGTTTACACAATCCTGATTAGGAAGTAGATACTGCTGACTGTTTTGGTGTTTTATGTGTCGATTTTTTGAAGAGAGTAAACTGAATCACTCACTTTTTATAAAATTTTTTTTGAAAAAAAAAAGAAGGCATGAGGTAAACCAAACTATAGCTTTTGTGAATGCTTAACCTTTTTGGAAGTTCCTTGTAGGTTTTACAGTTGTATAGAACTAATATATTCAACACTGTTGTTTATTTTATGAAAAACTTTTGGCTTTTACCAACCATTTCTTCTATGGTTCTAGAGCTTCTTTAAACTGTCATCACAAAGTGATAGCTTCTTTTTTAACTCTATTTCAATGCCCACTATGCATGTCTAATGCTCCAGAGAAGTTTTCATATGATTTAATATATTAACTATATCATTTTTTAGTAGTTTAGCATTTTGAAAGGTTTGGTTCAGATGATCATTGGAAAGAGTGTTTTTAATATTTTGATCTATTTTACTAAATTGTTATACTTTTATATTTTTTTAAATATAATAATAGTTTAAAATTTTATTATAATAAATAAATTAGTTTATTTATATTTTATAAAAATTTTAATAAAAATTAAGTTCAATATAGCTAAAACAAAAAAAGAGCTAGATGAAATATAGGAGAATATAAGCAAAAATATTTTGAAAGTAGCAAAAAAAAACACTCTAAAAAAAAACTATAAAACATTATATTTAATAAAAGAAATAACAAAAAAAAAAGTTAGAGTTGACAAAATTACTATTATAGCTAGGAAAGTAAATTAGCTTAGAAAGAAAAAACATTAAACTAGATTTAGTGTTAGAAAATATAAAGGAGTTTAATATTACAATAGAATACATAAATCAGTACTATGAAACCAATATAAAAAAAAATTCTAAAAATATGAACAAAAGAGATAATTGTAGATTTACAAAACTAGTAGAAGATTCTATATAAAAAAAAAGCAAAAGAACTAAAAAAATAAAGACTAAAGGAAATTAAACAAAACATTAAAAGAAGATGTCAAATAATCAATGAAAACAAAAAAAAATACTAACAAGTTTATTAAACAAACCAATTTGAAAGATCAAAATAGATAAACTTATTAAATTAAAAAGTATAACAAGAGTGCTAATAACAGACCCAAATAAAGTTCTAGAAAAGGGGTGTGGTGACCTAGTGAAGTGGATAGGTTGTCAACCCCCAAGTGGCAGGTCTAGAGTTCAAATCCCAGTGAC